GGTGGAGGGAGTCGTGAGGTTTGGCGCAGCTGCAGCCTAGCGGGGAGGGTGAAAGGACTGGCGTGGCCTGGGCGGAGAGGTGGCTTGTTGGAGATATGGGTGCAGTGCTCGTCGGGACTCTGTTTACCTCCAGGTGTCTGCTCGAGAAATGGTCGCTCCAGCGAAGGCCGCCTCGCTAGGCTTGCAGGGGTCTGGCCGCCAAGATCTCCAACCCTCTGCCGCGACGGTACATCAACACCACGACACGCGCACCCCAAGCACTGCGAATTCCTATACGCGCATCGTTAGAGCTCGATATAGGTAGTCGCAAACATGACAACCAACGAGCCATTTTACCTGCGTTACTAGTATGCAGGCTGTGGATTCTCAAGCACGTGCAGTTACTAACATTTTCGCAGCTCTGGTCACCAAGGCCGATTCGGACACGAGTTCTTGGGTGCGCAAAGCTGTTGCGAAAAGAGAATCACGGGTCTAACTTGGTACAGAGTTCGATTTTCGAGTGCTCGGAGATGGTCGCAGCGCATCTGCCCGTTATGCCAACAACTCAAACTACCGCAACGATTCACTTATCCGGAAAGAGAGTATGTCAATTCCTGCCTTTGACGTGATGTCTTGCTAACGCGCCGTTTAGTGTGCGTCAGCGATGCTTTGGTAGCCGAGATAAAGAAGATCGTTAAGGACAGTGAGATCCTCAAGTATGTGGAGGAACGGAAGTTACGTATAATCTTCTAACTCATCCCTAGGGAAGATGACACAAAGTGGCCCCAGAAGAACAAGGACGGTCGTCAAGAGTTGGAGATCCGGTTAGGCAGCGAGCACATCTCATTTGAGGTAGGGTGGTCCATCTTCCAAAGCCTTCTGTGGACTGACGGTGATAGACTGCGAAAATTGGCTCGCTCCAGGACGTACAAGACTCGTCGGACCCAGAAGGCCTCCGCGTCTTCTACTACCTGGTGCAGGATCTCAAGGCTCTGGTCTTTTCTTTAATATCTCTGCACTTCAAGGTATGCGATCAAGTGCACTCATGTCGAACATGAAGACTCACAGGGTTATAGATCAAGCCTATCTAAGCCTCTCGCCGCCACATGGAGGCACAGTAGCGTTGCTTTTGCCGACAGCGCACAGCCACGGGGTTGTGGCACAACCGCGGCTCGATGTGGAATGACGTAGGGACGGCGTACGGAGTCAACTGGAGGAACGACATCTGCTTGTGACTAGTGTCACCTGATCTGCGTGATCCCTTCTAGGACAATGGTGTATGAGAGGATGATGCTCAGGAAAGGGCCATTCGACCAAAATTCGTTAGATCGCGCGGGTCGGCTCGGAAGGTCAACATGGCCCACTTGGCAAGGAATGATAATACAAGTTACAGATGCGTTCGACGGCCTAGATAGAGAGTGTTCCAATGTGTCTAGGTTTGGCCCCATGTCATCCCACGTGAGTGAGCCTAGTGCGGCTTCCCCGCGTAAGTGCAGCTCAGTGACCCACTAACTTTGAACCGCCTAGACACCTCCGCCGAGTCCAAGTCATCCATCCAGCATGCATTCTTCCCCATCGCCACGCTTCTGGCTCCCGCAAGGCTTTATTGTATAATCGCACATTCATCCCCTGCCGTCCCATGTATAATCGCCTCGCACCTTCGCTGTAGTCTCGTCGCACCTGCTATCGGACCATGCCGACGCCGGATGATGAAGCCATGGTCTCGCCGGTGGAGCACGAGAGCATCGCTGGCCGCCCGACTTGTCCACCCGAGGAATCGCGCGTTATCGCGACCCACGAATTGAATGAGACACGGGGCGCCCACGACGACAGCGATGCCAGCGCTGTGCCCGATGTTCCCATGCAGCAGCCCACTCCGTCTCCACAAAACTCGCGCGAGCATACCCAGGCGCCCGACGATATCCAGACCAAGCTGCCCAGCACCGACAGAGACTCGCCCACCAGAGACATTCCCACGCCTATGACGGCGACAGACGACGGCACTGAAGAGCAACGCACCTCTCACGTCTCGCCGCTTTCTCCCGCTGCGCCAACTTCGCTGCTCGCCAGCCATCTATCGTCCCCATTCCCTGCGCATAGGGTACGTCAGACCAGCATGCATGCAGAACAATGCGCAAAGTAGACGTTGCTAATGCCGATGCAGTTCCTACCCAACACATCCTCGTCCCTCCTTCGGCCCGGCAGTCGCTTCGTGGGCACCCAAACCTCCGACCGCCAGCAGTATGACGTCGAAGTCGATATAAAACATGTCGACATGCGCGAGTCCTTCATGTGTGGATACTTGCGCATCAAAGGTGCGCACACATCTCCGCGTTGCCATGCAGAGCCTGTAGACTAATCCGTTCGCAGGGCTAACGGAAGACCACCCAAGTCTGACGACGTACTTCGAAGGCGAGATCATCGGAACCAAATACACCTTCATTACACAGCATCCGGAATGGGGCTCCAACGAGAAGGTCGACCGGCAACACTGGGGGCGGTTCGACGCATACAAGCCGATTGCTAAGTACTCTGCGCGCCAGGAACAAGTGTCGAAGGAGCTGAACCAGAGGGAACACCTCTTCATGCGGTGGAAGGAGTACTTCCTCGTGCCAGACCACCGGGTGAGGACTATAAGCGGTGCGAGCTTTGAAGGCTTCTACTACATCTGCTTCAACCAGCTCTCGGGTGGCATCGAGGGCATCTACTTCCATGCTAAGAGCGAGAAGTGAGTCTGACATCCCAGCCAAGATGGTCGCATGCTAATACTGCCCAGATTCCAGAAGCTCAATTTGAAACACATCCAAGATTTTGGGTGTCAAGGCGCGATTGAATTCCGATAATGTTGATGACTGAACGAGAATGACTGGGCATTTGGATATGGATTAGCATTAGGGCGCACACCTGGGCTTGTCTTCTTGTATCGATTTTTCTTCCCACGGACCGTATGCAGGGTGCCAAGGTCGTCGGGCTTTTTGTAGTAACGTCTCTGAGACATGCAGGTCGAATCACGTCACGCTACGCTTTGTCGTACAAGCAGTAGATCGCTGCGCCAACGGCTGTTTGCTGTGTTGCTGCAGATGTGGTGGACCAGAGACCCTGGCGCTAGCGAAAAACTCGCTTGATTCGTGATACGCAGCTAATCGACTATTACCTCAGCACCTGTGCATCTACCTTTGACCCTACTTTCTTGCACATTTGATAATCGCGTATACCAAAGTCACCATGCCAGGCGAAATAGCAAAGCGCACAAAGCGCGAGGAGTACAAGAAGTCGCTGCAGACGGAGGAGCAGCAGGGCGCCATGCCCAAGAAGAGGTTCTACAGGCAGCGCGCCCATGCGAACCCCTTCTCAGATCACTCGCTCACATAGTAAGATGATTTGGTCTTTGATGAGAAATGAACCTAACATTATGCAGCCCCAAGAGCCCCGCAGACATGGACTGGGCGAGTCTATACCCCATGTACGCCAAACATCCCAAGAAAGAGACGGAAGAAGGGCAGAATGAGTCACATGATCTCAGCATAGAAGAGGAACGGGAAGCAAATGCGATATCAAAGAACGTCGAAATAGCAGACATAGGCTGCGGTTTCGGCGGCCTACTCTTCGCACTCGCACCAAAGTTTCCCGACACATTGATACTCGGTCAGTACCCCATCTATTGTCGCCACCTCGTTCACCTCACAAGTACGCAAGTACACAAGATAACAACCAGCATCCCCAAACTAACACAAACCCACAGGCATGGAAATCCGTATGTCAGTAACAGAATATGTACAAGAAAAAGTCCGCGCCCTCCGCGTCCAAAACGCCTCATCCTCGCAGCTCTACCAAAACACATCCTGCATCCGTGCAAACACCATGAAATTCCTGCCCAACTTCTTCCAAAAACACCAACTCAGCAAAATCTTCCTTTGTTTCCCGGACCCGCATTTCAAACAACGGAAACATAAAGCACGCATCGTCTCCTACACACTCAACTCAGAGTACGCTTACGTATTGAGGCCTGGGGGTGTGGTGTACACGATTACAGACGTGCAGGATTTGCATGAGTGGATGAAGGGCCATTTTGAGCGTCATCCGTGTTTTGAGCGGGTGGAGAGGGTGTTTGAGGAGGGGAGCACGGTGGATGGGGTTGAGGGCGTGGGCATGGATGAGTGTGTGAGGTTGATGAGGAGTGAGACTGAGGAGGGGAAGAAGGTGGAGAGGAATAAGGGACTGAAGTTTGTGGCGTGCTTTAGGAGGAGGGAGGATCCGGAGTGGCCGTAGGGAGCGGGTGGGAGATGCTTGAGGCTGGGGAGGGCGGGAGGCTGCACTTTGTCTAGCATGCGGTGGAATTGATTGGTGATATTCGCCGTCGATGTCTGTGCGAGGCTTCTGAGGGCTGACTAAACGTGAAAGCTATGTTCATTACAACGCTCTATAACAGTGCTACCTAGATATGATTGTGATGATTGAAAGCTCTGTTCCCCCTTGCAAGCAGTGAGGTCATATGAGACGACTGATCGGCATGACTATAGTTGTCCCCACCTATTCCTCACTTGTTACAAGACTGCTGTTGGTTGGATAGAACGCCATAGTACCCTGTCTTTCCAAGCCACCGGCGATAAAATCGCAAAAATTAATCACACGGTGGTTATTGGAAAAAATAAATCTCAGTAGTCTAACCCACCGCAAAGGCATGCGTAGGAGTGTAAGTAGGGACAAATTTACAAACATAGCCGTGGTAGCCAACACGGCCCGCCCGATGATATGTAATATAGTGATTGTGGCTGGCTCGCTTTGGCGCGTTCTATGGTAAAGTAACCTTGATTATCTCATGCTGAAGAACGATTGGTTGCGCAAGCAAGTCTGGATATGCGGTACCGCGGAAACATCAGGGCCACATTGATAGATAAATTACCCATGTCTTCATCTCTTCGCTTTTCTTAAACACAAAGTCTCTCATAAAGTATCTTCACGGCTGCATTCCATACCCAACCATATAAAGACCAAAACCAGCAAGACAATTTCCCAACACCATGAAGTTCACCACCATCTTGGCTGCCGTCGCCGGCCTCTTCGTCGCTTCCGCTGTCGCACACGAACAATGGGTCTACAATGATCACCGCAGGCCCCGCACAGTTGACAAGACAAGTACGCACTCTGAGCCGATAGCATCACACATTGTTGGAATTTCCGCAACCTACTGTACTAACCCGCACACCAGATGACTACGTCCCCACAGCAGAGGACAAATCACTCTGCGCCCGCTGGGACGGACCCCGCTGCCTCGACGACGAAGAAGGCCCCAACATCTTCGACGAGGAAGAGCGTAAACGTCAGGAACTTCAGAGTCCTAAGGAGAAGAAAGAGGAGGCTCTCGCGGAGTTGAAGAAGATACAGGGGATCTGGGATGGGTACCATGCGGAGATGCGGAATCTTAAGATGATGGAGAAGATTTACGAGGGATTCAATGAGCAGTTGGATAGGCTGGAGAAGATGGCGAAGCTTAAAATCGGCAAGAATCGGGAGGCGGATGAGGTTGAGAATGGGGGTGAGGGTGCGGGAGAGAAGTTGTAGATTGGGACAACTCCAAGGCTGGGAGAGTCAAGATGGCTTGAGATGCGCGGTGGAGATGGATTGTGGGATTGGCTAGAGAGCCAAACTGCGGCACGCGATTGTCTACCTCGATGGGAATCTGAACATTAGAGTGGAAGCAGGCCGAAATTGGCTGTCGCACAATGAAATGAACACAATCACAATAGATTGGCTTCAGAATACAAGTGTAGTAGATAAGTCGTGATGTCGACCTGCCCTGCAGCGCGATGCACAAGGCACGTCATCCCGAGGTTGCAGCACTGGCCACCGAACGAGGCCGATCGCGCTAAGTTTATCCAGCCCTCACTCACCCTATCACCACTATACTTCCCAACGACCATACAGCCCGACTACTACCCCACGGACCCCCGAAGTCTAGTCAATTACAGGAACTAGTACCTTCTCCGCCGAGATGAGCAACTTTGGAGGCGCCGGGCTTGGGCAAAAGGTCCAGAAGCCGAATCCGTGAGTCCTTCCCTCCATGCGCATGTCTCGTCTCGGCCCTTGGGTACTCAGACAACATGGCTGTCTCTTCCTATCTTTCGATTCCCTGTGCTAACAATTGCTCCACTTCAGGCCAGAGCGCGGCTCATTCCCTCTCGACCACGACGGTACGCTCCCCAAACCTCAACATCCACTTTTACGTCCTGCTGTACCAACCTAACCACATCGGTCCGATCTGCTACTGCCATCCATACGATCCATACGAATAGGCGCTTACACTATTGTCCAGGGGAATGCAAGGACATCATGCTCTCGTACCTCCGATGCATCAAGTCGCATCGTGGGACTAACGACCCCGAATGCCGCGGCCTCTCCAAGTCATACCTGTCATGTCGCATGGACCGGTACGTACCATCATCTACTCTCGAGGAAGGCATCGCCGGACCGCGATACAAACATGTCGCGGCGCTTCTCTTCCCATCAGCAGCCCACATCATGCCGTCATCTACTTCTAGTAGCATCTGCGGAGTCGCGCATCCTTGTTCTCGCTCTCATCATCCCCCTTACATAATGAGCATATGGCTGACTATTATCACCGCATTAGAAATCTGATGGCCCCGGATTCGTTCAAGAACTTGGGCTTCGGCGAAGATAGTGACGGCCCTGCCACCACCGCTGCAAATGCAACTCAGCCATCGCAACCCAACGGCCAAAACAAACCTCGCGGAGCTTAGGACAACGAGTCACTGTTTGAGCCAAGGACAAAGGTCACGCGGTTAACCGTTCGGTAGCATCCGAAGAACATGGCTCACATAGACCCCTCGGAATACGTCTCCACTCTTCTTTCCGAAAACCTTCGATGTGCCAAATGACGCACATGCGCATGTGTGAGCACGCCCTCTGCGCCCCCTGCAGCGAGACTGCAGATTCGACAGGTGACATTGAGAGGATGCCCTGGACCAGAACGGCAAAGCATATAGTGAGACAAAGGCATGGTCGGATCGGCGGCACTGGCACCCATCTCCGCGAAAGGCACAAATACAAGCAACTTGGATACAACAAGGAATGCCCATGACAGCTTGGCAGATGCTGTAAACACCGAGGATACTGGTGATACCCGGGCGCGCCACAACAGATCCGATGAAAGACAAGGCAGTGCAGATAACACAGCAGACTTATCTGAATCACATCGTTCTTTGTAGAACCTCGATAAGATAGCGGCGCAAATACACCTTGTTCACCGCTACACATCCCCATCGATCACCATCCCTCGTCATCCTGCAGTGGCAACCGTCAGACCCGATCTTCAACCGAGACCTGCAAGTCATCCCCCCGCAAAACCTAGATCTAGGAAACGGCGCTGCGCTGCAGATCGGGGGGTGTAACCGTCGTACAGCCGGCTAGCTGACACTGCCGATGGGGGCACGATGACTTACTCAACTCCCATCTTCCCTGCTGAACAGTCCGGCTATCTGAACATGTGCGATGCGCATCTTTGGTAGCGCCGTGAACGCTTTGTTTTTCGCGCTACTGCTGTTTCTGTCGCTGAAACAGTGTGGTTGTGTCTACGGGGGGTTCGTGTTGTGACGTTGGTGGCAGATGGGCTTCTCACTTCCCTGTGAGAGGGCATGAGAGACGGGCGAGTGCGGGTTTGGCGTTGCGTAAAGCACCGTGTACATCTTGCGACGAGAAAATATGGGCTGAATTAAGATTGAAAAGTGTCGGTCTCCTTTGCTCGACCTGATCCGCATGCATGCGCAGTGTTATGCCAGCTATACTGACTATGCGCACTAGCAACTTCAACGGCATAACTGTGCATGCTATCATACTATAACGTCCCTCACTATGAACTACCAGAACACAACTATCCACACTAGCGTGCGTACGTACGCATGTTACACGACAGATGTCAGTACCGATCCCAACACCACCAGTCCACCTGCCGACTCCCTTGCGATGTCACAACCAAAACACCTCAACACCGATCGTGCCCCCCCATCCCCTCTCCTTGTTCCGTCAAACGACGGGGATAGGGCTATACCCTTATAGCCGCAATGCCATTGTGTAGCAACATCGCGACAAGGTCACCCTCGCCGGTTCGTTCCATTCCATTCCATTCCACGTCCCTGCTTTACCCCAGCTCAACCCCCAGTAGCAACGGCTTTTGTCTCTTCTTGCAGAACCCTTCGCCGCTCGCGTATACAGTACGGTTACCTGCATATTGCGCATAATCCATTCGCCATGGACACGGACCCCCTCGATTGGATAACACTGCATCGTGGGCGAAGGACGTAGTAAGGACGTCGGCAGCTGATTGGCTGCGGGACCCGAGGCCGTTTTGCAGACCGATCGTAGCGTGCTTGTAAGCATGGTGCATGGGGGGTGATCTGCCGGCAGGAATGGCGGGGACGCAACGCAGGACGGGGGTAGGTAGGTATATGACGGGGGGCTATAGGTGTTCCGCGACGGACTTTACTGCATGGCATGGGTTTATGGTGATTGCGAGGGAGGGTTTGGTTGGTGGGAATGTCGACCGGTCGGAATGAGATGTCTAACTATATTTCCTCTTTCGCTGTTTCCAGGTGTATGGGGTGAGATGGAAGTGGGTCTGAGCGGCCGTGGAATGTGAATTGCATTGCATGATAGTCTTTCGATTCTACCGAACTACGTCTTCCGCATCAAAATGTACGGGAATGCGCAATCAAACCTCGCCCGTCCCCATCCAAGTTATCCCGACTCAACCCAGCCAACCAACCAACCAACCAACCAAGCCAAGCTGTTATTCCTTCTTCTCGTCACCTGCATGTACCACTACTTACTACCCATACACACCTATACCCTCATTCCCCGTCCACATCCTCCACCGTTCACGACATCACCCCACCACCCGAAACAACCAAACACCCGGTCTCACCATCCGGAGCCGTTCTTCGGACATGATCTTACAAATTGCTTTTTTTTTTTTTTATCCCCTCTTTAGCCGTTGAGATGCGCGGCGGCTAGATTTGCTTTTCTTCCACTTTCACTACTTTCCCATAAGCCCTAGATACGGTATTGTTGTACGAGATCCAGCGCTATGTACTATGGCGCCGACGCCACGGCTTTACCTGACCAAGTAGTCCGTGTATCACAGTCTTTGCGCAATCTTGGAGGTTGCGTGAAGGCGGCGGCAATGGCGATGGCGATGGCGATTTGCTCGTATCCGAAAATTGTGAATGCCATGAGGCTGAGACACGGGAGAGGCGTGGTAGAGACGCAGGAATCCGGAATGTTGCTTTTGTGGACCTTTTCGTCCTCCACACTGGCTGCCTGGCGGGAGGACTGTGGCGGTCGCCTCCACCGCCGAATGGATAGGGAGGGGCACGGCTCAACCAACTTAATCTCACTCGACAAGGCATGAAAGACGGGGTTATTGATGTAGATGAAATTGTATCTGGGACCAATCGGCCCATACTAGAGCCCATGAACTAAAAGGCAGAACGCGCAGTAGCAAGAATTCCCATAGGCCCACCGTAACCATAGCAAGCGTTATCCGAACGTCTTCTGCATCTATCATTCTCTTCCCACCAACATAAGTGCTGACACCATAGAACGCCAACAATCCGAAACGCGCCGACCATGCTTACATGTGCCTCCCATAAACAAAACCGTCATTAAAGAAGACAAGAGTGGTGATGTGCAAAACTGCAGGTAAACAACCGTGACACGCCACATACATGCGAGAAAGATGTAAATAGATGAAGGAAAGCGAGTCGCAGAGCTGCCAGAAGGAGAGACCGCCGTGTACGGAGATTGTCGAATACCGAAGCGGCGAAGACCTTCGTGCTCCGGTTGGTAGGCTAAGCTCGGATGATGATGAGCGGGAAACCAGGGTGATGATGTGCCACGGAGGGGTAGAACATATTATGCAACGAAATGGGAAGTGCTTTGATGCAGGCGAGAGCTTCATCCGTCCTTGGCCAGCAGAGACGGTACGCGCGCGGGCGACGACATGCCGAGGAATGGTCGACCGATGTGAGGTGTCTTTAGCCTCATTGTAGCAGCTCTAGCGTATGCATCAAGCAGGATGCAGGAACGGGTGCGGGGTATCGCGGGGTATCATAGTGAAGGAATCGACAACGAGATGAAAAGGCCGGAAGAACAGAGACAGCTAGTAGGCTTTGGATCAGTTCATGTCCATGCCATACTCATCCTCCTCTTTGAGACTAGACCAGTACTGCTGCTGGTTCGATCCAGAACCGCTACCGGTACTCTGCATGCCTGGGCTAAGACTCTGTGGAGATGCGCCGCTGATAGGTTCACCGGCCAAGTTGGTGTGCTTGGGCACTCGGAGTCCGGAGCCAGGGCCTCGCGAGTATCGGAAGGTACCCGAGCCGTTCTTCTCAAGAGCCTCGAGGATCTCGGTCTTCATGCGCTTCTCGTCTTCAGTCTGTTCGGTGACCCACTCTTCGCCAGTGGCTTGTTGAAGTCGTGCAGCTAGCTCGTCACACTCTTGAAGCTTCTTGGACAGCATCCACATGAGATCGCGAGTCCAGCTG